AACTGTTCGCAGAAGGGCTTAAGGTGAGGGTGACGGTGAGGGAGGTGATTGTGGTGGGACAGAGGGGAATTTGGCTAACCATACTGGTGAAGTTGGGAGACGAAAAGGAAAAGTGGCAGGTGCTGGAAGCGAGAAGTAGGGCGGGGAATAGAGTAGGGTTGAAAATACACGAGGACAAGTCGGTGGAAAGGAGAGATAGGGAGAGAGAAGAGAGAGAGGAGAAAATAGAGGAGAGGTTACGTAGGAGTACAGGGAGATCGGAGGATGAGGAGATATCGAAGGAGATGGAGGATAAGCTGCTCGTCGAAGATGAGTCCAAAGAGGAGAAGGAGGAAAAAGGAAAGAGGGCCTGAGTTAAATAAGAAGAGAAGGGAGGGAGGGGAGTGAAGTCTGAGGGCGGGGACGAAGCGGAAGCGGACGAAGAAAAAGAGGAAGAGGGCCACGGAGAGACGAAGCGTAGGAAGAGGAAGAGGAAAACGACCACAGGGAGCGGAAGCGGACGTGTAAGAAGAGGAGGTGGACTTCGGGGATTTGATCTATGTCTATGTTTATGTTTGGAAGCTAGAGTGAATGTTATGTAAATGTACGAGGTTTGGGAACGTTCCTCGTGATAAAAAAAAACGCCTTGTAAACCCTAAGGGGAGAGACAATAAATAATACAATACGATACAATACAATAGTTATTGCATTTATTGTATCCTGACAAAGTTGGGAGCCCCTCGGACCCCTATTCTAGGAGGGGATCTGAGGAGACTTAAGGGGGGAAACCACTGTGACTGCCGGAAAAAGAATGCTATTTTCGTGAATTTTTTTCGCGAGAAATAATAAATTTAATGAAGTTGGTTTTTTATTTCTTTAAAGTACGTATATTGAATATATTGCAAAAAAAATCGTTAAAAAATATTAATATTTGCGCCTTTAGCGTGTGGTATCGTGTACCTCCGCAAAAAATTGTGGGTGCGTGGACGTTCCGTCAGAACGGGATGTCTAAAATAAAAAACTTTGGTGTCATTTTAAACTATACGAATGTAGTTTTAGTACGGATTTTTTGAAATATTAATCTTTAACAAAATGGCGCAGTTCTAAAGAAAAAGTTCGAAATTCAGCCAAAAAATTTTTCACTTTTTTAATTGTTTTTCAAAAACTAATTGTCCAATAAAAAAATCGTACGCTTAGCTGAAGACAATTTTGTTATAAACATTCTGTCCAAATTTCAAGTCATTCGGATAAAAATTGGCCGAGATACGCGAGCGCCCAGCTACAAAATTGTAGTTTCGAGAAAAACGCGTTTAAAGTTTTACAACTGATTATTTTATATAGAGTAATAGAGTAATCTTTTAATTTTTGTTCTTCTTTTGATTTTAAACATACTACAATAACTTTTGTAGCCCATACATAATTTTTTCCAGCTGATGAAACAATAAATGCAATAACTATTTATTTTTATTGACGTAGAACTACGTCTTTCTCTGCGAAAGGGGGGGTATCCACGGATGCAACGATGCAACGAAAACATGTCACACTTTGAACGTTTATATCATCGAAACTAATAATCGTAGAATAATAAATGACATCTCATTTTAAAGCTTAAGAAGTCCCGTTTGTGATAAAATTTTGATGGTTTTTAATAACCAATTTTTTTGAAATGGAATTGTTATAAGAACCTGACGTCTGTCTGTATGTCTGTCTGTCTGTCTGACTGTGAACTACTCATTCGTTAATAGACCGAATTTTAAAGAATTATGTATGAAATAGGGGTAGAATTTTCCGGGAATGACGGTGGTGGGATTAATTTTTCGATACCGATTTTTTTTAAACCGGTTGTGTAGTTTTTTGTTATATTTTCGAAAATAATAATCGTAGAGTAATAAATAAGTTGTCATTTGATAGCTTATATAGTTTTATTTTCTCTCTAAAATCTAAAGTTTCAAGGGGTTACCAATTTTTTTCTTGCAACGTTTTCCGCGAACTATTCATTTGTTAATAAACCGAATTTTAAAGAATTATATATGAAACAGGGGTAGAATTTTCCGGGAATGGCGGTGGTGGGATTAATTTTTTGATACCGATTTTTTTTAGTTATTAACAATTTACTTAATTGTTTAAATGAAGCGTATAAGATCTCAAACGATGCAGAAAACCAAGACACACATATTAAAAAAAAGTGCTTTAGGCCGATTTTTGTGGAAAATACGTTTTAAAAACCAATGTTGATGGAATAAACAGATTAATACAAGAGAACTCAAATGTTTAAAAATCCGGGGGCACGGGTTTTCGTTATCCGATCGAGCTGAGCTTTGGCAGGGATTATTTTTTTGCAAATTGGAAACATTCTGGAGGGTGCCGCAAAATAAATTTAAAAATCGAAAAATAAGGACTACCCTAATATACATACTTGGCATTCAATTAATTCTTGCGGTCAAACAGAAGACTACGTGTTCACTGTACATACATATACAAAAGCCTGAATTAAATTAAACTTTCACACACTCCAGCCTTCAGGTATAAGCTGGCTGGCCATTACCGTCCCAAATATTTCTTCTTTGTCATTAGCCCTGTTCGCGCGCGCGTTAGCGCGTTTTGTGCTGACCTTTTCAATAAATATCGCATTACTCTCTTCATGCTATGACTAATAACATCTCGACAATTTAAGAATATAATATTTACGAACATTCGTGATCTCGAATATTCGCAATCTCGAACAGGCCCCAAGAGCTCTCTCCCCTTCCCTCTACTTGTAATCTTTACACAAAACTATTGTAAGTATATATTCGTTTATTCATATTTCTGATACATAATGATCAATAATGATCAGAATCAGTTCAAGGTTTTTCGCGATAATTTACATATTTACGTAAATAAATAAAAAATCGAAATAAGACTGAATATATATATATATATATATATATATATATATATATATATATTGCGATATGAGATTTAAAAGTAGACATTCCAAGCTTTTAATCGCCCTTTTAAAAATTTTTCTAGCGCAATTTTTCGCGAAGTTATGACGATTTTAATTTTAAAATTTTGTTACGTCCTGAGATCGTTCGAGACGTCGCGCGTTGGAGTGGGTTACGTAAAGTGAAATAGTAAAGCATTTAATGCATTTGCGATATTTAACTTGTAAAATACATAAAAGCAAACGAAGGTAAGTAGAAGACTTATGATTTATTTTCCTTTGATACTTGAGTAACACTGCACTCTCTAAGGATGATACGGATTTTCTGAGTTAGAAATCCTGTTTTTGTAATTCTAGGTTTCGGTCGCTCTTCAATGGCAGGAGTCGATTGAGACGGATTTGAGACGTCCGGGACGTCGGCGAGAGGCTCGGACTGTAATGCTGGTGGCGGAACGGAGTATAACACGCTCGGATCGAATTCACCGCCAGTATAATAGGCTCGCCGTAGCCTTTTTAATTGATGGCTACGTCCCGACCGTCTTGATCGTACCATTGGTGATACTATTCATTTACCTTGTTGCGGCTTGTTATACTTCCGGATCTTTTTTAATGTAAGCTGCTTCGATTTCCTTTTTGAAATATATCGCACGCAAACGTGCGTGAGTGTGTCCTCGTGAAAGTGTGTGTGTGTATGTAAGCCTTAACAATATCATGCAGCTAATAAGTAGATAATCGGTATTCAATAACCTATTTTTAATCAATGTTTTTAGGAACGGGGAAAGAACAGCGAAGATTAGAGAACGCCCTGCGGGAGGCGCGCATCTACGTGAGGACTTGTCAGAACGTCCTGAGAGAGGCGCGCATTGACGCGAGGATCTGTCAAGAACGCCCTGAGAGAGGCGCGCATCGACGAGTAGGTATCAGATAGAAAATCATAGAAGGCTAGGTAAAACGAAACTATTCATGTATTTCGCTGCAACCGATATTTATTGCTGGCCTCACTTGCTTTCCTTGTATTACAGGATCGTATTCCGGCAGTAAGAAGAACGACGCGTGAGACTAAGTCCTTTACGGCTCGCGGTGCTCTCAATATATCAATCTCGCGTAACTTATTCGGAAATAGAGTAGAAGAGAATGCAGATACCCGATTCACAGGGCCTGTGTATATACTACTCGTTTGGTGACGTCCCGGAGTAAGGGACTACGGGGTTCACGTGAATACGCGAGATCGTCACGTGAAACTATTCGGAAAATCGCGTGATTATCCGAGAGCGTCGCGTCCCGGTCGAGACTATGAATTAATCGCTCAATAAACGAATTTATCAAATTATATGCTAGTTATTTCCACGTTTCTTTAAACTCTTTCTAAGGCTGCATTCCGATATCCACTGTCAGTACTGCAAATCTATATTTTATGTCACGTATACTATAGATTTTCAGTACTGAAAGTTGCTGACGGTGAATATCGGAATGCAGCCTAAAGTATCTTATATTTTTATTATAATAACAATACTAGTACTACCTAACATTATCATTAACATGCGTTCTAAATCTATGATTTTACAATAATATTAATATTAAAACATGAAATTTTTGTCGGCCTAACTGGCAATAAATTTAATGTACTACAACGACGTTTCGACTCGTGCTTTGGGTCCTTATCAAGTTAGGTTATAAGCAATGCTGGAACAACACAATTTGTTCGTATTACATAACAATAAATATACATTGGTAGAAGTAACAATGCAAAACTTACATAAATTGCGCGTCAAGTTTTAAATCTAACTGTCATCGTTAAATATGTGGTCCGAAATACAACGAACATCAGAGACATGATCGCGCCATGCAGAGCCCGAAGAGCGTCTGCATATACACAATAAACAAACGCAAATTACCATGAATTGTATAGATGGCAAATCTAAAGCGAAGATATAATTCGGTCATAGACCAATGGTAGATTTTCCGTATCTTTTTGCGAGTTAATAGCATCAGTATGTTTTTTGATAAACAACATTTCCGCAATTTCACGTTTTTTCCAGGTTTGGTTCATTATGTAAAATTTTAACATCCTGCCATTTAAAGTTGTGGTCAAAATCTAATCTGTGCTTGCTGACAACTGAGTGCTGGTTGAAACGCTTTCTAATGTCAGCGCAGTGTTCTTTAACACGGGTTTCCAGATGTCTTTTGGTCTGACCTATATAACAAGCATTACAATCAGAACACTCGAGTTTATAAACCACGTCCGTGCATTTCTTATTCTCTAGCCTGTCCTTCCCTTTTTTAATTATCGTGTCCAATTTTTTAAGTACGGTGTATAAGGTGTTAACGCCATAATTGCCGAAGGACCTTCGCAAGCCTTCACTGAAGGTTTTTAGATAAGGAATTGGCACATAATATTTCAGATTCGGGATGTTATACTCTCTGACGTCATTGATGACACAGTCATCATTGCTCAACCGCTTGTTAATTTCCGCGCGTCTTATTTGAATATGTTTGTTCTCAAGCGCGTCAGGGAAACAATTGTTCGATAGAATGGATTTCACCAGAGAAATGTTTTCGTCGTAAAACCGCTCATCTGACAGGAGTATAAGAGATGGGCGTATCGACCTGAACATATTGATACATCGTATCGATACGTATCGTGGATGAAAATATTGATACACAAAAAGTATCAGATGTCTCGTATCGATATCGTCAATATCGATACTTACAAAAAGATATTGGATTGTAGAATCCAAGCCGTTGTGTCCAGACTGTCCAGCCGTTTTGCAAAAATTTTTAGCATGCAATTTCTTGCTTCTGAAGTCGTAAAATTAAATAGTTGCAGCGAGTACACAAGAAGAACCTTAAGTACAATTTTTTTATTTATAAAATAAATAATTTTTTGTACATTATGACTTATAATTATAACTTATAATTATTATGACTTATAATTTTTTTATAGATAATTATGATTTCTATAACTCTAACTCTATAATACGTATTTACGTAACGTACCAAAACCAAATGAAAAAAACCTATAAATATAATTTTTTATGATTCTACATATATGTATTTACCATGTGTAGTATGTGTTATGTGTACAATAAGTATTAATTATTATTTTTACATTTCTTCGATTTTGCGATTGGCATTTATAGACATGTGTAATTGTATAATGCCGAATGCGTCGCAAACGCCCCATCGCCAGTCGCAAAGGATGGCAGGATTAGAAGGAGCGTTTGTGACGTATTGTGTAATTTATAATTTATAAAATTATAAATGCTAATCATCAATTTCAAGGGAATGTAAAAATAACAATTGGTTAAGGTGATCACCTGTCAACCTGTTTCTCTCTTCGGTCATTATTTTACCCGCTTCAGAAAATAATCTTTCAGAAGGAACTGAAGTGGCAATTAATGATAAATGCTTAATTGCTAAGGTTTTTAGAGGAGAATTTCGGGCCATGTTCCGATATTTAATGGCATTATCATTCATTTTTAACGGTGGTTGATTCAGATAATAACGAAAGTCGTCTGGCATTTGGTCAGGATCTTGATTGACTACCTGTTTAGATATATTTAAATTTACACGATTTTCATGATAGGACCAAAAGTTTGTTTTATCGTTAATATCGTTATTATCTGAATCTAAATTTTCTCGTTGATTTTGAAATTCGCGGTTAGTATCTGTAACTTCAGAATTTATAAACCTTGTAATTTGGTTAATAGCTTGTGAGCAAGCAACTTCATCGATAAAACTTATATTTTTAAATCGAGGATCTAAAATTGTAGCCATAGCTATTAGTGACTTTTGTTCATAATCCTCAAATCGTTTCATAAACTCATCTTTTAACACCTTTGTAAAATGACGACCTATATCAGTAGAAGGTTGAAGCGTCTGTAATTTATTCTTTAAAGTATTGACGATTGGAATTACTTTACTCGCAGTAAGATAGTATTCGCCGCATATGATTTTTGTTGCATGTTCAAATGGTTCTAGCAATGTAACAAATTCTTTAGTCGATTGTAACTCCGAAGCAGTTAGCATCGGAGGAGCCGTAGGACATTGCAAAAGAATGCAGTTAATTTTTTCAGACAATTGTATAAATCTCTCTAGCATACTATACGTGGAGTTCCACCGTGTTTCAACACTCTGAATTAACTTTAAATCCGAATGAAGCCGTAATTTGTCTGCAGCGATAACTGATTTTTTAAAAAATGTGACAATTTTTTTTATTTTTGCGCAGAAATTTTTTACGATTTCATCACCATCGATAATTTTCGCCAAAACTAAGTTTAAGGTATGCGCAAAGCATGCAAAATGTTTATCTACGCCGAAGGCATCAACAATGGCCTTCTTTATGTTGGCAGCATTATCTGACACAACGACTACGATACTTTTCATATGTATATTCCATTTATCTATTAAACTTAATAGCCAATTTTTCAAATACTCTGACTGATGTCTTTCAGTCATCTCAACAACGCCAATTGTGACAGATTTATGATGCTCATCTACTAAGAAGTGTGCCGTTAAGCCCAAAAAACTTTTCATATTTAACGATTCAGTCCAAATATCAGTAGTTAGGGATAAATACTGTACTTGTGAAAGTTGTGTTTTCATCATACTTGATAAGAGATCGTATTTCTGTTCCATAAGATAAGTTATGGTCTTCCTACTAGGAATCTTGTATAAAGGCAATAACGCATTCGTATAGATTTTGAAACCTTCCTTTTCAACTGTACGAAATGGTAAGTTGTCCTTAGCAATCATGAATAGCAGTTTGTTTGTCACTTCGGCAGCTTTGGATCCTCCATCTGAGAAATTAAAAATATTATAACACAATTCTTTAAATATACCTATTCTATTGATATATATAAATACTACCCGAAAAAAATATATAAATAAAAACTAATATATTTAAAAGTTGTAAAATATTTTAAAATTATCAACTAAATATTCTATTTGAATTGACTAGAACAGTATTTAAATAGGAAATAGATACAAAATTGTGCAAGTAGAAACCTTTACATTGCTTCCTTATAGTTTTTAAGTGTGCAAGTAGAAACCTGCACATTGCTTCCTCTATGAGGATGATTTCATATATAATTCATTTAAATTCGGTTGATTAGACCCAACTTTATACGCAATCAAAGGTTCATACTTCATGTACGAAAGTCACGAAAACAAAGCTTCCTCTATGAGGAAGCAAAACGATAAATACTTCCAATAAAATGTAAACAAATTATATGATGGGATATTTATTCGAAATGTTATTTGAAACTCGGTTGAATAATCACAACTTCCATACCTTGATATGATTTTTGTCTTTGAAATACTTCTTTAATTCGAGGTTGTTTTTGTTTAGAAGGTTTAGAAACAATTAGACTTGGTGAAACCGATACTGATCGCGTTTCTGATGATGTAGACGGACACGGACTAGACGGTGTCGGAAATGAGTCTGGGTCATCAATATCGATAACATCTTCGTTGTCTATTTCGGACTAAAATTTACGTAAAACATACATCAATTAAAGAACAAAACTAAAGGATAATATAATATAAATATTATGTTATATAATAATATAAATATACATTACTATTTGTGTCTTTCTCTTGAGAGATACTGCAGATTTTCTCATTTCAACTTCGGGATGATAACGTTTCATGTGAAAATGTAAATTAGTTGTATTTCCAGATGTTTTTACATCTTCCTGGCAGATTTTACATTTAGAAAATCGACCACTTTTTATAAAAAAGTCCCAAATGTTACTTTTTGGTGGCACTACATGAACAAAAAGATATAATTATTATTATTTAACAATTAATAAAAAATAAACAAAATAAGGAAGAAGAATAAAATGAAGGAAAACTTGCACGCCTACTTTTATAGAAAGTGAGTGCGTCGTTAGAGATTAGGAAATAGGAACGTAAACGTGCACCTTCACCTTCGACCTTAGGGTTTTTATAAGGTTAATTCTGTAAACATTACAAATAAGAAAATTACACATTCAATTATAGGACAGATTAGTAAGAAATAATGAAATCTGGGTGCGTTTACTGCGTTTTCCAGCAAGCGACACAAGTCGACATTATAAGTATCGTTCTATCTTTGTTAATCATTGAATGCTAAAATTGCTAAGAAAGATAGAACGACGTTTGTGACGAATGTGACGACTTGTGTCGCTTGCTAGAAAACGCTTAACGCACTAGATGAAAGAAATATACAATTACTTATTTTCATACTTACAGATTTGATCACGTGCACGTGACTGATGAGCGATGTGATTAAACAATAGGTTTGTTTTCCTATTATTGCACTGGCGGCTGGCGGGACGGCAGTAGTTTAACGTACTGAGAAACGTACAAATACAAATCTCACGCTTGAAACTCTGCGTCTGCGTCATTAGTTAGATTAGAAGTTAGGAACGTAACGTGCACTTTAGTATTTTACACTACGAAGTACGAACACTACGAAAGTACGAACGTACGATAGGTAACCTACCTACGAAGTCTATGAACTAAGCCAACTAAAAGGCATAAGAAATTAAGAAATTAAGAAGTACGCAGTACGCACTGTACGCAGTACGCAGTACGAGACACGAACCAACACGATCGCACCACTGAGGACCAACGGCAGTCACTGCATGGGCACGGACGCACGGACCACGCGGTCTGACAGTCTGGCCACTCTGGCCAGTGGCCGATCTGGCGGCCATTAAAGGACAAAGGACAGTCAAGGACCATAGAATATATATTATTACGGGCGATCAACATAAGTGTATCGACGATCGATATTCAAGGGTTGAGTATCGATACGACGAAATATCGAACAATGAAATATTGATACAAATTATTGATATATTAACACTAAAATATCGATATTTGAAATATCGATACAGTATCGCCCATCTCTAAGTGGTCAACTAAATTAAAGATCGTGTTTATCTTGTATTTCAGCGGATGGCTGGAGAAATAGTTTATGTAACGTCCCGAAAACGTTGGTTTTCGATACCAGTTCGTAATTAAGCGATTATCGTGTCTAAAAACCATCGTGTCTAGAAAACTTAAGCAGTTATTCTTCTCAAGTTCATACGTGAATTTGAGCCTCAGGTGGTAGTTGTTAAACGTGGCGACAACATCATCGAGTAATATTTTATTGAATATTAATATTATTATTAATATTAATAAACTAATATTAACACTATTATCACATGCATCTAGTCCTAATGATAGTTTTACAATAATATCAACATTATTAACAATATGCGCGTTTGTGACAGTAACACGCGGCATTGAAAAATTTGCTGTTCGGTACAATTTCATAAACAAATTTGAAAATTAATGAAAATATCAATAGTTCGATTAAAAAAAATTTTTGTAATTTTTTTCCTCTGGTAGGGTCAAAGTATGTGAATGTACGCGCTCCATTCATTCACCGCGCCGCGTACATCTTGCATAATTTATTACGTGAAAAGTATTGCTCATACGAAAAAAACTTATAGAACATTTTTTGTGCAAAATTGTCCACTCTTTAATTTTATATTCTTGTATTTTCTTTGTAAAATCGATATTTAACGAGACATTCGCAAAAAACGGAATTTGAGTCCTATTTGTTTAATTATTTTTCTTAGCGGCCACTGTATAATGGTAAACTTTTTTTCCCTTCAATCTTATGCAAAACGAAGGTCTGTGCCAAAATTTAGCTTGCTGACATTTTTTCCGAGATCAAATCCTAAAGTGACTTTACTATTATCGGTAGTACCTCGATCGAGCTTTCAAACGCGGTAGCTATTTCTTTTATGATAAAATGTGCGTCGTAGCCGGATAAATTGTGGAAAACTATGGGAATGTAATGAGAATCTTTGTAATTTAAATTGCAGTTTGAATATGCGGGACCTCTATAACGACCGGTCAGGTGGCAATAATCGCGTATTCGCACGTCGTCCGGCGTGAACGGTTTTTCACAAATGTAGCAGTGCGTGACGCTGTGAAATATCTCCTACTTGTCTCGTGTTAATTCTGTCATACAAACATTACCGGACAAGATAGTCTTTACGTCGTGTGCTAAACGTCTTAGTTCTTCGGCGAACCACGCGACGCAATCCTTATCGCGATGAAACCGACGCGCGGATAATGAGTCGTTGTACGAGCACCGCACGTAGTATCCTATACTAAATACCCGATGATGTTGAGACCTGTACGTGGACGTTCTTGAATCCGTTCTCCGCATCCGTCTTCTCGAGGGTACATTCCAGGTCGGCGTATACGACGAACGAAAGCCGCTCCTTCCTGCTGTGATTCTTGAAACTCAGCCACTTGTCGTCGTCGCTCGGTAATCAGATGGCGCAGTTGTTTATCTCTCGGCAGTCTACACCATGGGCTTCCAATTTCTCGCTCGAACTAAAGTAGTGTAAACATCTGCAAAAGAATAATTTTTGGTTTACAAATTTTTTATAAAGAATGTGGCAGCTGTCGTCAGCCACTAAGAAGTCACGGAGAGTACGATACACGATACGACGTGTTGACAGATTACACGATACGATATATTCTGTCAAGCCACAGTTACTCCGGCTTGTTTGACAAGACTCGCGTTTCCTAGCAACCGAGTTTTGCAAAAAGTCTTCCATAGATGGATGTCAAAACTCGCATTTAAGATTCAACCACGATGTAAATATAAAGGCGACCGAATTCACAGAAATTCGGCGATCTGGCAAATTGATCTTTCGATAAACATAAAGGATCAAATACGCCTCACACTTTTGAAACTAAAATTAAAACAAGTGCAACCTAACTTCCGAAGCGCGGATCTAGTTTGCGGCTAGTCAGGGTTCGCAGTAGGCGCGGAGGAAAACACAAGACTCAGTTAAAACAAAAAGTAACAAGGTTTATTCTAATGAGATTGAGAATACATGAGTTTGATCGCGGAGATTGCAGGTGCAAATATCGCAGCGGAATATGTACAGTGAGATACGCGGATGTCGTACAGTGAGATCGCGGAGATCGAAGGCGCGAATATCGAAGCGGAGATATATGTACAAGGGAATACGCGGATGTCGTACAGAGAGATCGCGGAGGTCGTAAGCGCGAATATCGTAGCGGAGATATACGTACAATGGAATACGCGGATATCGCACAGTGAGATCGCAGAGATCGAAAGCGCGAATATCGTAGAAGCGATATGTACAGCGAAGCGGGATTACAGCCAGCGATTGGCTACGCGGAACGAAGTACGTGTACTTGAGAACGCGGATTGGCGGGCGCACGGGCTCGCAGAATACGGCGTGCGGATTCGGTGACGGTCGGCGCGAGAGCGCAGATTCGGACGCGGCGGAAATCGTACGCGGTGAGGATCGTGCGTGGAGACGATATCGTGCGGCTAAGACTCTTAGCGAATATAAAGAAGACTTTATACACGGGCGCAGTGACGCGTCAGGCGGGATGCGGTACGGTGTGGCCAAGACCCTTGGCAAGTAGAGAGTAGTTCTCTTACCCTGGTTCACTCCGGTATTGTAGGTTTTATGTACGGGATCGAATCAACCACCAAGATGCTTCACTTGACGGAGCCAGAGAGAGACTCTCTACCTTCTGGTTGTGTTCGGGTTCTGGATTTCGGGATCCGTGAGCAGCAGAGAATCGGTCGGATCGGTTGCTGGCTTACGGTAAAATCTAATCTTTTTCGGAAAAACCGGCGTTTATATATTCCTCGGTGCCGTCAGGTGGCGGCGGGGGTATCGGCGATGACGACGGCGAGCGCCGAGGTAGATCGGTGGTGCGGTCGGGTATTATCCGAGTACCCTGACGCCGCGATCGCGTTCGGCGGCTCTCAGCCGTTTTCGGCACCGCTCGGCGCTCCGAATCGGTTGCCGCGGTAAGTCCTTTAGCGGACTTATACGCGAGATAATCTAATTAATAAAGAGCACACCGTGCCTTGTCTTGCCCGCCGGATATTCGGCCGGGCGGCATCTGGCTGATGCTCGCCGGGAACGATGCGTTTCGGGGCGCATCGTTACCTACAAAATTCCTCCTCGTCTCGACGAGGAAGGAATTACAAAAAGGCGCAAGTCTCGCCCTTTTCCTCTTGACCAGATCTTTGCGGCGCAGGGTCGTCTGAAACAAAAAATTCTAGCACCGTTTTAAAGCTTAAACTTGTAGTTTGGCGGTGAACCTAAGCTGGGGCCAGACTACGCGCGATTCGTGATTTGTAATTCGCGATTCGCTATTCGTATAAGATTCGTAAATAGTGTGTATAGGCAGATTCGTCGAATTCGCATCAACTGTTTACCATTCGCGCCGATTCGCCAGCGAAGCGCTCTTTTGATTCGTGGTTCGTAATTAGCGGTTCGCTATTCGTATAAGATTCGTGAATAGTGTGTATAGGCAGATTCGTCGAATTCGCATTCGCTGTTCATCATTCGCGCCGTTTTGCCAGCAGAGCGGTTTTTTGGCGAGATCAAAGAGCACGAATCGCCACGAATGATCAATTCGTGTTGATTCGTACGGTGTTCACACTGTGCATGTCTATTCGTATGTATCTTCGTGGTTTACGCTGAAAAGTCGATAGACTCGATTTACTCAATAGTCGATTAAGTTGATTAGGATTCAGATTAGTTCATTAGTTGCAAGGATGGAAGCCGAATGGACAGAATGTCGCGTTCTTGCGCTTATAGAGGATATAAAGCAATATTCGTGCTTGTGAGATCCCAAAGACAAGGATTACAAAAGTAGAAATAGAAAATTTGATGGACGATATTAGTTGTGGCGAAATTCTAAATAAATAGCTCAAACTTCGGAAACTATCGCCTAGAATCTCAATGTTACTGCTAGTCTTTTTTTGGTCGATACAGGTTTTCTTAAATGAGTGCTTTGTTTAGCAATTCGGGGTCCTATCAAATTGAGAAGAAATTTATAATCCTCTGCCGACATTCTACAAAAATTCTCGAATTTCCCACTCTTCTTCACATAATTGAGCAATACAGTTCCACTATGTCTAGAATAAAAAATGTTGTTAATGAAGTAATTTGGTCTTACCGTGATTGAGAAATTTCTTATTTTAAAACTTGCAATACTGATTTTATTAACTAACCTAGTGAATAGTGGTTTGATCCACCATCTCCGTTTCCTTCTTTTCATTTTCTTCTTTGCAATTAAAATATATATATTGCACTCGCAATTGCAACGTCACTATCATCGCTATCGCTCATGATCGAATCTTATTACGCAAAAATGTACTCTGGATAATAAAAGTAAATGTT